TGCGAAGCTATGGATTCAATTCCTAGTATGAAAAGAAATTAAAAAATAGTGCAATAGTTTATATATATTTGTCATATTCAGAATAGAATGATTTTAACAGAATCTTTTCAAAAAATGTATTAGGGGCAGGGTCTCACTATGCAGCTCAAAATCGTAGTGATACAGTGATCCCTGCTTTCAGCCTTGCCAGCGCTGGGAATACAGGCCTGTACCACCACATCCAGTCTCGGTGGCCAGCTCAGTGCACCTGGGGGTCGGGTTGGCACAGCAAGTGGTACCAGGGATCGAATCTTGATCCGAGCTTGCCTAACTAAGCAGGTGCTTAGTCCGCTGAGCTATCTCACTGGACCTTTTAATAGAATCTTAATAGGCTGCCTTGGATAAATATTCTGAACACTTTTTTCCAGAATCATATTTTTAAAAAATTGCTAACATTTATAGTTTGCTAGAGCCAGCCACTTACATGAATACGGAAGAACAAATGAATTATGTAACTATGTCATCTGAATGCTGACAGATAGTCTCAGACTTTTTGCTATAGAAAATGCAAAATATCCAGGGTTCTGGGAGGAACCAGAGAACTTTCTACAAGGCATTACATTGATCTTAATATGTAAACTCTGTAAATATGGTTTTGCTGTTTATGTGTGCCTGAAAAGGCAGCAGGCTGGGCTGCAGCGAACACCTCATGAATGCTGAACTTGCCCTAGAGCACGTACGCCATTCTAGCAGTGACCACTGCCATGGTAGGAGATGTTTTTTTTTTTTTTTTTTGGTAAGTTAAAATTCCAAATAACATGCACAGCCTCTGGCAGTGGTATGTCTGTGCTGTTGTTTAGATAAAAATACAAAATTCCACGTTATTTGCAGGGTCTTTTTTTTTATAACTTAATATTCAAAGAGATACTGTTTTATTTTATTTTTTTGTGGCTGGCTCAGCCCACCCTGGAGGTGGGGCTAGAGCGGCATGTGGTGCCAGGGATCGAACCATGGTCCCTGCTAAGCTTGCCTAAGCAGGTACTTTAGACCACTGAACTATCTCACTGGCCCTGAGATACTGTTTTATAAATTGGCTTTTTTTTTTTTTTAACCAACTACCAAACTATTCTTCGGAAAAACTATCTGAATCTAAATGTCACAGTGTTTCTATCAGGTTTAACTGATCACAGCAAAATATAAATAAATAAAAACGATTCACAGTCTTCAGTTAACTACATTACTCTAAATGAAAATGTACTATGATTAGGCAGGACAGATTCATCATTTTGGTACCTCAGTAAACAAATAGGAATTGAAAACTTTCCAGTTCTGCTTTCCCCTTCAAGACAACTTACTCTGTGGTCAAAAACATCAAGAACTTAGAAACAATGCAATTTCAAAACAAAATGAATAATCACATTTTAACTGTTTTACAAAACCTTTTTTTAAATGAGAGAGAGGTATCTCACATAAAAAACTCCAAGGAACAGGTCCATTAATGAAGGCTATCTTGTGCACTGATGGACCAGTTTTTTTTTTTTTTTTTTTTAAAAACATGGTCTTGTAAAGAGAACTTGAAGAAGAGGCTCTACTCTCAAATGAATGCACTGGGGGAGGGGGAGCGGGAGGGTTGAGAACACAGTGTGCTGCCATGAAAGATCACTCAGCATTACTTTTAATCAGCCTCAGAGATGGTGGAAAGATACTGCCCCGTTTCTGGCTCAAATCACTGGGAACTAATGACAGGGTAGTACTCAAAAGGGGAAGAAAACAGTTCTGAAGACAACAGACTATTATTTCCTTAGCTCTGATCTAATTTGATTTATCATGATCTTACCATAAAATGTAAATAATTTATTTTCTTTTCAAACTTATTGAAAGGACTAAAATAATATATACAGAAATTTATGCTCTGCCCTTCCTTCTTGTTTCTGGATGCACAAATGGATCCTTTTCCATGGAAGAAAAGTCACCAAAAAATGAAATTAATTCTGTCACATGAAGTCAGCTGCGAACCTCCCACTCCTGCCAAATGCAAGATCACACAGAGGACTGTCCTTATGTACTTAGGACTTAGTGATTGAAAGAAATGGCTTGATATGGGGCAGCTAAGTTGCATGACACAGTAACTCAGAATTAAATTCTTCCTAGTCCTACAATAAATTAACATATAGAATATCAACTGCATACCTAGATAATACCTCCCAATAAAATGCCCAGATCCAGAAAACCAATTAAGATTTGGAGTTATGTATGTTAATGGTCATACAGGATTGAACCTAGTTCACTTTACTATGTTTCTAATGTCTATATTTTATTTTTCAAGTGTCTTAACTAGTACAGTAACTCATCACAGTCTTCAAGACTTGAAAACAAAGACCTGGAAAACTGCCACAAATGTTTAACCAATTTAAAAATCATTATTACAAATATTTGTAATATTATTTTATTATTTCCTATAGAAGAAATCTGCATATTTTCAAGATTGCTTTCAATTCAGCTAAACCTGATACCAAAATACATTACTTAAAATTATTGTCAATATCCCTTTCGGGCCGGGGAGATGGCTCAGTGGAATAAGCGCTTCCCTGGCAGGCGCAAGTGCCTGAGTTCAATCCCTGTTCCGGGAAAAATAAAATAAAAAATCCCTTTGATCTCAATTGTAGAGTCAAGTAACCTCCCTAAGGAAATACTTAAGTTTAATGCTTATAAATAAATAAATAATTCACAAGATCTAGCTTTAGAGGATGTGTTTTTGTTGTCTTAACTAGTGCTTATAGATTTTTAATAAGACATTTTTGTTCTCTATCTTCTCTTTACACTTGATAAACCTAAAGCTTGAAAATATTTTAAAAGTTTGGGTAGTTTTAGAACTTGTGATTCTGATAATTAAAACATTTATACTGACTTCTTTTTTTTTTTAAATTTTATTTATTTATTTAACATTTATTTTGTGTGT